GACTACCCTTTGAACTTATCTATTGACTTGTCTACGGACTAGTCTATTGCCTACTCTATAGACTGGTCTATGGAGTAGTCTACTGTCTAGTCTATGGACTATTCAATTGACTAATATATGGAGTAGTATATTGCCTAGCCTATTGACTAGCCTATGGATTTATCTATTGAGTAGTCTACGGACGTTTCTGTTGCCTAGTCTATTGACTAGCCTTTGGACTTGCCTATTGGCTAGTCAATAGACTAGTCTATTTCTAGTCTTTGGAGAAGTCTATTGTCGAGTCTGTGAATTAGAGTATTGTCTAGTCAATAGAACGGTCCATTAACTAGTCTATGGACCAGCCTATTGCATAGTCTATGTACTAGACTATTGACTAGCATATAGGCTTGTCTATTGAATAATCTGTGGACTAGTCTATTGTCCAGTCTATGGAGTAGTCAATACTGCATAAACAGACTAGTCTATTGACTAGTCTGTGAAGTAGTCTATGGAGAAGTCTATAGAGCAGAATATGGACTAGTATATGGATTAGTATATGGACTAGTTTATGGATTAGTCTATTGTCCAGTCTATTTCCTAGTCTAGTGACTAATTCATTGATTTTTATATGGACTAGTCTATTGCCTACTCTATGGACTAGTCTAATGACTAGTCTATTGTCCAGTCTATGGACTAGTCTGTTGACTAGTCTATGGAGTAGTATATTGCCTGGCTATGGAGTAGTCAATTGACTAGCCATTGACTAGTCTAGTGACTAGTCTTTGGAGTAGTATATTGTCTAGTCTATTTGCTTGTCTATTGACTAGTCTATGAGCTAGTCTATTGTCTAGTCAATAGACCGGTTCATTGACTATTCTATGGGCCTATTGCATAGCCTATATACTAGTCTATTGACTAACCCATAGACTTGTCTATTGACTAATCTATGTACTAATCTATTTTCCAGTCTATGGAGCAGTCAATTGACTAGTCTATACTGCATAGACTAGTTTATTGATTATTCTGTGAAGTAATCTATTGAGTAGAGTATGGACTAGTTTATGGATTAGTCTATTGTCTAGTCTATCATTTAGTCTATTTCCTAGTCGAGTGACTAATCTATGGAGTTGTCTATGGACTAGTTTAAGGAATAGTCTGTGGACTTGTTTATGAAATAGTCTATGGATTATGCTTTGAGTAATCTAGGGACTAGTCTATTAAAAGGTCTATTAACTGGCCTGTAGAGTAGGCCATAAACTAATCTTTGGACTAGTCCACTAGTCTAGACTAAGTTTTTAAGTAGAAATGTAAACCCAATGGTGATAAAGAGAACGTGAAGGAGGATTAAGTTCAAAGGAAGGTTTATAAACGAGTGTAAAGCCATAGAGCCAGTCAAAGAATTATTTCTAGTCTTTAAGCTGATGATTAAGGAAAGAGGAAATGAGTGTTAAAACGGTGATTGTCGTAATTCCAAATATAATTTAATTCATTTATCAAATTGCATTTTTTCAACAAATTTTAAAGTAATTTTCTCTTTAACAAACAATATGTTTCTAGCATTGCTTCTCAATTTGCTCAAGTTGTAATAAAAAACACAATTTTTTCCCGCATTTTAAACTGCAAACTCATTGTGCTAATGGCAAACAAAACTAAAATAATGTCGGTATTTGCAACAAATGCTTGCTGACGTTGTAAATTTAACTTAATGTTTGCAGTTCGTTGCAGCATCGATTGCAACATTAACAACAGCATTAAACAGGTTTAAGTCTAAACTAAATGTTGTTGCATTTTAACACTTACAAGTATTTAATTCTATTTATGTTTGTTTTACCAGTTTGCTATACACTTTGGTAAACATTTCCCTTTTGTTGTAAGAAGCTTTGGAAAAAAGATTTTTGTTGCATTGTTGATTCATTTACAGCAAATTGTGTACAAAATTTGATTTATCATCGTATTTGTATGTTTACAATATTTGCTGTGTAGTATTATTGCAACATGTTAAATAGTGTATTTACCATAAAGATATTGTTGTCTTTACAATAAATGTTGTGTGTATTTAGTGTAGCCAACTAAATCATTGGTTAAATATTATGACTTTGAAAATTGGTGTGAAAGATAAAATGTTGCAAAATTCAATTGCAAACATATCTAGTATAGTAAATTTACAATTCGTAAGGGAATAGTTAAAACCATATTAGTAAACTACTTGAATTATTTGCATGTTTTTTTACACAATTGTTAAGTTATTTCAATTATTTTTCATAATGATGACGCCCCCTCCCCTTTAAAACCATTTGCACTCAACTGACAAATTGCTTTTACCATCCATTTTGCATATGAGGATATAATTACTTGCTTCATTTAAAATGCATTTCATATTTTTTCCAGCACAACACTCTGTTTCATTTTAAATCCATAATCATTATTATTTTTAATAATCATCATCAGCAGATTTTATTAATTGCATTTTTATCACATCGCCTTATTATGGTTTTTATTTTGTAACGACTTGAAACTCTTGATATTGATTCATGGTTTATATTATGAACCATGTCCTTGAAATTTAAATATTTTTTATTTTTTTGTATAAAAAACGACACTTAATTAAGCAGAGTGAATACTGTTTAATGTTTTAAAAGTTTTCAGCATAATTAAGCGTCTTTTTGAAAAGGACTTTATTGAAAAGAAATATTTTTAATAGAATTTGTTTAATTAAATATGAAAAGGAACTTTTGAGAAAATTGTTAAATTAAAAGGAATTTAGTTGTGTCAATTAAGTGTGAGTGTTTAGCTCTTTTGTAACAAATAAGTTTCTCTTTTAGAACTTATTTAAATAAATATAAAGAGGTCATTTTCGAAGAAATCTTAAATAGTTTTAAAAATCAACTTTAGAGAGTTTGCATTAACTCTTAGTTACCCCCCTTTTATTTTGTCATTCTATAACAGTTATAGGCAGAAAGTGGCAAGAGCTTTACGTGAACACCTGCCGTGTTGGGCTATTTCACGGTGGTTTTTTTAACCTAATGCTATCACTTGTATACCTTTCATCCATCACAATTCAACCCTGCACATTCACTCTAGGTATACGGACGGTTAAGATTCGTATACCCCTACATTCATCCTGTATCATATACATATTAAACCAACCCATTTCCAATGCTTAGTCCCACAGTGACTCCTCTGTGCGGTATCTGTTGTCATTCGCCAACAGCACGGAACTTTTCCAGAATTTTAAGTTTCTCCGTACATCAGTCTTTAAACCGCAACTTTCTCTTCCCGAAAATTTGGGTTTAAACCACAGCCACTATGTGGATTCCGAAGGAACCTCAACCAACTGATCAACAAGGACAAGACCACCCGTAGTACCAGACTATGTGGTTCTCAGATTCGAATCCATGTCAAATCATTTTAAGGAAAGTTCGATAAGTGAATTGACTTCACCAGTATAGTATATGGTAGCACATCTTTATCCCGTGATATCAATGCACCAAGATGGGGTTCTTTCATCAAGGAAAAATGCCCCGGAGGGAGTCATAGGCAGAGAGTAAAAAGTAGCTTTCTTACTGGTTTCAATTGGTATATATACATGTGAAAACATATCTTTAGAGAGGATATGCGCATCGCTGTTCTATAACAATGGCAGTCAAAGAGGTTTTCATGAGCTCTCTACTCTTCTACCTTTACACTTACTCCCTTCCGATACCTGTTCTACAACGAAATTCTTACAAAACGAGAAATATTGAACAAACATACAATGTACTAAAATATAGAAAACTTGAGCCTTTTTCAAGATGTGATTAGACTGAGAGAATCACAGATTTTCTCGAAAACTTTTATAAACTGAAAGTTATAGCAGAGATTACAGAAATGCCGATTATTTTGCAAACTGATCAGAGTGAATAATAGTTTCAATGTTATATTGAGTTGAAAGCTACAACGATCTCTTATTTCAAAAAGAAACATAAATCATTTACAAAGATTCCAAAATTTAGCAAAGAGAGTGTTAAAGATTGAATTCAAAAAGAATCGAACTGAACGCTGATTTGATTCTCTGAACCTCTATTTCAAAGATAAACCATTAATACAGAGGAAATCAAAGATTTTTCCTTAAACATCGAACTATGATCTGAAATTATTCTCTATTGATCGTATGAAACAAAGTTGGAATGATTCTCTGAATCGTCAAGAAGAATTGTTTTCAGAAAAACTAAAATTAAACATAAAGAGAAGATTACGTCGAACTGAGAGCTAGAATGACTTCTGATTATTTGTAGAGCTTTTAAAATGGAACAAAGCGGGATTCAGCGATTTATTGAAGAAGTACAAATCGTTTGGTGAAAACCCAAAATTAGACTTAAGTAAAAGATTTAGTTCAAAAAGAATCGAACTGGAAACTGTTTCCTTTGAAACATTCATCTAATTATACAATACGATTTGATCTAAAATGGACTTTTATTCTAAAAATAAATTTAAACTATTTGCAGCGATTTCACAATAAATATGTAATAAAATACAAATCGCGGTGTGAGCTGTAATGATTCCCGAATATTCGCAGAGTTTTAAAATTAGAAGAGATGTAGAAAAAAGTAGATACTTGTTGGAGAAAGATCTTAGATTAAACATATAGCAAATCTTACTAAATTTGATGGACTAAATAATTACTTTACTTTTTTTTTAAAGTACTTTAGAGATTAGAATTGATTGATCGGATAATCAACACAAAAGATCGCGAATAGATTTGTAAGATTTCTGTTCAAATATGTATATTTGATTTATGTTTTTGAATTATAAATTCAAAAATTTATTATCCTTAATCATTTATAGCAACGTTGTTTCAAATAAACCGTTAACACTTTTCCGATAGCAGTTTTTTTTTATCAAATAGAAAATGTAGTTTGACTACCTTTGAAACACAAACATTTTCTTATCTTTCTTTTTTGCTTTTCTTATTATACACAATTTATTTTCTTTTACTTGTTTTTTATATTTTATAATTTTCCTTAATTTTTTTCCATCCTTACCTTGAAAGCTAAAATTTATTTGGTTAAACTTAGTAAGAAAATTAAAAAATATATTTCTTTATTAATCCACAGACAGTGAGTAATCTTTGGAAGGATAATCCAAATAGCAGGAACTCGTTGCAAATAAAAATTGCAATTTTTTATTTAAACTACTAATAAAAAACAAACGTTACCGAACGTTAAAAAATTTATTTAAAATTTTTCTATATTAAACTTTTTTAATCAAAAAGGGGGGAAAACGAACAACCGACTCGAATGAAGTAAAATCTGCAACTGAGTACAAAAGAAACATGTTTTACTGCTATATAAATCGTACGATCGTGTTCCACTGCACTTGGTTGAAAACTAAGAAAAAAACAACACACATCAGTAGAAAAGCAAAAACAACAAATATACAGTCAAAGAAAGAAAAAGCGTTAAAAAGCAAATTCACTAGCATTATAGTAAGTACAACGAGCGTAACAACAACAACTAAAATTTCAATGATTCAAGTTAAAAAGTGCACGAAGTGTAAAAACGAATTGTACTCGTGTATGAATTTTGGTAAAAAAAACAGTTAGTTAATGTTATGATTATTCGTAGTTGTACCTGTAAGCAGTAGTAAGTGAAGTTTTGCTTAATTTCGGCTGGAAAACAATTCAAACTTCATATTGCACAAATGCTTTGTTTGTATTTTAGTATGCACAGTGAAGTTTTGTTTTTTTTTAAACAGTTTATTGTTATTTTGTGAATGTTTCTCCTCTCTAGAGTCGACTATGGACTAAGAATTATAGAATATCGAATCTAACTACAAGGCTAGACCTATATAATTGACTATAGACTAGACTATAGGACTAGAACTAAGACTAGACTTATAGGACTAGACTATAGACTAGACATAACTAGACTATAGACTAGACTATAGACTAGACTATAGACTAGACTATAGACTAGACTATAGACTAGACTATAGACTAGACTATAGACTAGACTATAGACTAGACTATAGACTAGACTAGACTAGACTATAGACTAGACTATAGACTAGACTATAGACTAGACTATAGACTAGACTATAGACTAGACTATAGACTAGACTATAGACTAGACTATAGACTAGACTATAGACTAGACTATAGACTAGACTATAGACTAGACTATAGACTAGACTATGACTAGACTATAGACTAGACTATAGACTAGACTATAGACTAGACTATAGACTAGACTATAGACTAGACTATAGACTAGACTATAGACTAGACTATAGACTAGACTATAGACTAGACTATAGACTAGACTATAGACTAGACTATAGACTAGACTATAGACTAGACTATAGACTAGACTATAGACTAGACTATAGACTAGACTATAGACTAGACTATAGACTAGACTATATAGACTAGACTATAGACTAGACTATAGACTAGACTATAGACTAGACTATAGACTAGACTATAGACTAGACTATAGACTAGACTATAGACTAGACTATAGACTAGACTATAGACTAGACTATAGACTAGACTATAGACTAGACTATAGACTAGACTATAGACTAGAATATAGACTAGACTATAGACTAGACTATAGACTAGACTATAGACTAGACTCTAGACTAGACTATAGACTAGACTATAGACTAGACTATAGACTAGACTATAGACTAGACTATAGACTAGACTATAGACTAGACTATAGACTAGACTATAGACTAGACTATAGACTAGACTATAGACTAGACTATAGACTAGACTATAGACTAGACTATAGACTAGACTATAGACTAGACTATAGACTAGACTATAGACCTAGACTATAGACTAGACTATAGACTAGACTATAGACTAGACTATAGACTAGGACTATAGACTAGACTATAGACTAGACTATAGACTAGACTATAGACTAGACTATAGACTAGACTATAGACTAGACTATAGACTAGACTATAGACTAGACTATAGACTAGACTATAGACTAGACTATAGACTAGACTATAGACTAGACTATAGACTAGACTATAGACTAGACTATAGACTAGACTATAGACTAGACTATAGACTAGACTATAGACTAGACTATAGACTAGACTATAGACTAGACTATAGACTAGACTATAGACTAGACTATAGACTAGACTATAGACTAGACTATAGACTAGACTATAGACTAGACTAGACTAGACTATAGACTAGACTATAGACTAGACTATAGACTAGACTATAGACTAGACTATAGACTAGACTATAGACTAGACATAGACTAGACATAGACATAAACATAGACTAGACATAGACATAGACTAGACTATATGGATTGTTTCGATTTGAAAATTTTCAATATCGTTCCGCTCTAACAGAAATTAGTGGTCCGATGTGTAAAATTAATTAAATTAAATTAAATTAAACATAAATATTCATTTTCTTTTTTTCAGTGTCGAACTTCATTTACGAAAAATTGTTTTATTTGTTAAATTTTTCGGCCGGACCGATAAACGGCTCATGGGCGTTATGCAAAAAATTATCATATGCTAAGCATTTATTCAAATTACACCACTGTCTTAGATCGCTTAGTTGAAGTTTCTTTTAACATAAAACTTGAAATTTAAAGAAAAATTTATCAATAATAAAAAAATTTTCATAAATGAAGTTGTACATTGACGTGTACTTGTATGTCTGAGTGACTGTAGTTTATATGTATCTGTATGTAAGTATCAGAGTGTGTTTTTTCAATTTTGTAAGGCGTATATTACTATTTACCACAAAGAAAACTAAACCAAATATTAAATTAAAAGAA